ATACCATGTTTCAGCTTTGTGTAAGTAATTTGAATATCCAAAGGATTGTGGTGATCAGTCCTTGATATGCAACGTCCGCTTAATAAGGACAAGTGTTCCAGTGTCTCTTATGACTGTGGTCATAAATGATGTTGGAATTTACCATTTTGTGAAATAGTTGGTATCCTTTTACTACTATAGTTAATTTTTGTCATTCCAGGAAATCTTTGTGAAGCCAGCCAATTAATAAAGCACTTTAGCATCTGTTCAGGTAGTTTTGAAAACCAACTTTTCCCCTTCAGGATAAGAACTTCCAGGTTACCTAAAAATGCAATAAAAGTCTTTATAGTCTACGCTTCTTGGCACATAATTTTTCATTAGGGTTTTCTTTTATTAAATGAGCACAACACTGTTTTGATTTTTTTCTACAATCACCCAGCTACTTGTGTAGTTTTTAATTGTAAAGCTATATGAAAGAAGTGGCTAAGACATTTGCTGCACACACTTGAACTGTTGGGTCAGTAGCTTTGTGTCATTGCCCTGACCCCAGTGTAATTCAGGGGGAAAGTTATTAATCTTACAGGGATATGTAGCTATGTATTTTACTTAATTGTTAAACACTGGAAATTAATGATGCAGATAACTTGATGTGGTCTTTAAACAGCTCTCTGCAGTATTTTTTTCCTGTTACCATAAATTGTTTGTTTGTTTGTTTTTATTAATCCTCACTGGAGAATATTTCTTCCATTGCTTTTTTTAGAGACAGTGGAAAGGAGGGAGGGAGAGAGAGAGAAAAACACCTATGCGAGAGACAGCGAGACATTGGTTGGTTGCCTCTCACATACGGGGAACATACCTGCAACCCAGGTATGTGCCCTTGACCAGGAATTGAACCTGCGACCCTTGTGGTGCATGGGCCAACATTCGAATGCTGAGCCACACCTGCAAGGGCTCCTGTTACCATAAATTGTATTTCTGTGCTTGCTCCCCTCTGCTTTTAAATTGTACCAGTGAAACCAGTAACCCTGAGCCCTCCCTTCCCATTTGACACTCCCCAGCTTAGATTGATGTAGTTTTAGTTATCCCTGTAATGTGACATTCCTAAGTCGTGGTATTCTGCATTTGTCTGTCACTAGTTGGGCATGTGCCAATAATATTTTGTCCATTTCTTAACTGCCATCTCTGTTCTGCCTGATTTTTTCCCCCTCTTCAACTGAATTATGGCTTTTTGCATGAAAAAAAAAAGTTTTTACTATTAGACATGTAAAGGGAAGAGAGAGTCAATGTATTGAGTTTTGTAAGCCTAAAAGGAGTATTTGGATTTATCTACGAAATAAGGGCTACGTACTATATAATAGAGTAATCATATGGTGGAAGATACTTGCAGGTCATAGGTTTGTAGGCAGAAAGATCTGTTACTCCCTGTATCTAGGCTGAATGTAAAATCCCTTATATTGTATTATTGGGGATAATCACTATTTTTATTTGCCTATGATATACTTGGTTTCTAATAAATTGTCCTAGACTCTAGTGAGAACTGTCTACTTTTAGTTGCCAATCACTCCCTTTCCTTACTTACCTGATATTCTCTTGGCTAGCTTTTTATAGGCTGATGCTTTTTCCTGAAATATCTCACCACTGTACATGTGTTACTTTGGGTGTGATCCTAAAAAGCCCGGATCAAGAGCATACCTGATATGCAACCTGCATCAGCTCCTACTCCATCTGGATGTCTAGAACTTTTGGAAGATTTTGACGTCTTAAATCCTGGGTTTTGCTTTTGAAATAAGGTTTGAAATATTGTTCATTGCATAAGATTTGTGTGTTTTTGCTTTGTAAGCCCAGCAGGTTTTGGAAAATGCCTGTATTGTGAAAGCAAATCTGAACTCTTTCTGAGCCTCTTTTATTGTGAGAAGTAGAGTTGCTTTTCATCAGCCTCCAGAAAATTGTGTACCTGGAGTTGAGATTTAACAGCAAGAATCCAGATTTTTAAATGTAATTGTTTTTTAACTGCTAATGTTTGTAAAGCACCTTCAGTTCTTTGGATGAAGAGTGCTATATTCTCTCAGTGTAAATTAATAAAAATATTATAGGAAGTTTGTCAAAAAATTTTATCTAATGCATAGTTTGTAGTATGTCCCAATAAGTTAGCATTTTATATAACACAATTTAAATTAAAAATGCTTATTCCTCCACTTAGTTGCTTGACTAGTAAACAGAAGTGAAACTTTCTTGTTCCATATTTGACTCTGAGCTAAGTGTTCCATTCTTTAAAGGCATTATCCACTGTTATGCCCTGGGTCTGGTGGCCAGAACCATGCTTCATGAGTTGTCACAACTTTCAATTGTATATTTACAGTGTGCGGTCATGCTTAGAAAATAGACAGTAATAAAACACCAAAAAGAAGCATTTGGAAAGTCCCCTAAGTATTATGCCAAACACAGTCGATGCTTGGGGAAGGTTGGTTCCTTAGTTCCCTCTTACTAGTTTTCTCTTTCCTTGTCAATCAGATGATGAATATTTGTCTTTCTTACCCCCCATGAGAGCATGCTTATGCTGTCGTAGGTCATTCAGATATTTTCTTGACTCAAAAATGGATGAAATTTATGAAGATTTTTTTGTCAACAAAAATACTTATTGCATAAGTATATTCCACTTAATCCCTTGGCACCCACTGTTCTAAGCAGTCTGCTTTGATGTGTAATTGGGAATAGGACAGAAAAGACTGCATGGAGGCCTTATGGAATAGTGGGAAGAGTATAGTGTTTGTGATCAAATCTAGATAAAAATCCTGGCCATGCGAGGCAGCTAACCTGCATTGAGCACACTTAGCTAAATGCTGTGGTGCTCTATTTTGTGGTGCCCTTACTATGGCTCTATGACTATATTACTTTTTTTCCTTTGGATGAAGAATCAGGCTTAAGGAGGATGGGTAACTCCTGTAGGGTATACCAGAGTACATCTTAAGCCCCCTTAACAGCAATTTTAAGTAGATTGGTTATAGCTATGTGACCCTGAGCAAGTTGGATTTTCCGAATCTTGAAATTCTGTGTCTAAAATGAGAGAATACCATACAGGTTTGATAACAGGATTAAAAATAGCACTCATAAAGCTCCCAGTCCTTGGCCCAAAGCTACTATTTATTGAGTATGTACTGATACACCATTTGCCCAAAATCAATGTCGTTGCTAAGTAAGAATAACCCAAGGCAATATGTAATTGCTGACATAGTAAATCTTACGTTAGTACAACAAATTTGGAGAAGGAAATGTTTGCTGTACGATGCAGTAATTAGGAAAGGCTTAAAAGAGGAAGTATGAATGTGGACTGGAATGGGATGTGCATTTCTTATATAGTAAAAGCACAAAAGCAGACATTACTAGAACTTGGTCATGACGCAGTTTACTATCATTTCATAGAAGGAAGGTCATTTTTAAAAAAATAATTTATTGACTTTTTACAGAGAGGAGGGGAGAGGAATAGAGAGTCAGAAACATCGATAAGAGAGAAACATCAGCTGCCTCCTGCACACTCCCCATTGGGGATATGCCCGCAACCAAGGTACATACATGCCCCTGACCGGAATCGAACCCAGGATCCCTCAGTCCGCAGGCTGACGCTCTATCCACTGAGCCAAACCGGTTAGGGCAGGAAAGTCATTTTTTAACATCAAATGTAAAAAGCCATTTCTGCATAAATGCAGCCACAAATTTGGTTTTGCGAAAACCTGTAGTGCCCTTGTTTGCCATTTGTGAAGATCAGTGAGAGACTTGCTTTCAACCTGTTGGTGCGTACTAATCCAGGCTATCTCATTGATGCATAAAAGTGTGTTCTAGTAAAATGGAAGTAGTTGAAGAGAAAGTTTTATGCCTCCTCCCAGCTTCAATTGGTAGATACCAAGGATCTACCAAACAGAAAGGGTACACAGTGAATTTAGAGAGGCTGTAGGGGTTACCACCTTCACAGAAGAATTTTATATGTTAAATGAACTGTCTTATTTTCAAGGATGGCCTTGTTAAAGGAGACATTGTGCTTATGTGCTAGTTAGTAACAAAAAGTGCAGTGAATTTTATTTTGATTAACTGGTGTAGAACTTAAAATCATTTGGTATCACAGGATGGTTAGCATACACGGAGGGATCTATTTAGGCCTTTCAAAATGGAACACATTGCTTTTAGTTATGGCATCAATTGTTTGCAGCATTGCTCTTTCGTGGCAATTAAAAAGAATGCACACAACTCTTGCTCTCTTGGAAGTCCACGCCCAAGCTTGTGATCTTTCCTGCTGAAGATTGAGCATCTAAAAACCATGCTTTATATGGTAGCTTATGTTTTCTGGCTGGATCCTCTATGAAGGGTATCTGGGAGCTGTGAGAAGATTTCATTCAGCATGATACAGAGCAGTGATTTTCAACCTTTTTCATCTCATGGCACACTAATTACTAAAATTAAGCGGCACACCAAAAAGTATATTTTTTGTCGCTCTAACAAAAAATAGGTATAATTTTGATTCATTCACACTGGGTGGCTATTGTGTTGGCTGTTATCATTTTTTAAATTTGACAATCTAAGGGAAAAGAGGTCAGTGTCCCTGACTAGTCAGGTATTGCATGTTGTAAAAATTCTCTTTTCCACGCCGGTTGAAAATCGCTGATGTAGAGACCGGCACTGTATACAGGGTAGTTCAAAATGAAGCTCGTTTTGGAGAGTTGCCTCACTGTCGCATCGGCCAGAGGAATTTGGGAAATTGCAGTGCTTGGCTTTGAGTCCTGGCATGGTGCAGTGTTGGGGGGCGCCAGCAGGTGTGTGGGATGCAGGACACACAGTGAGCAGAACTTGCCTGCAGGTGTCTGGGGCCGAAGGTGCAGTTTCCGCTTTCCGACGCACGGTGGCGCTCAGTCTCCCCTGCCCTGCTAGTGGTCTCTAAGGCACCTCCGCCGCCACCTGCAGTCTCAACCAAACTCTAGGTGGCGGGATGTGACGGCCCGAGCGTCCAATCGACCACCAGGATTTCGGACATGCTACGGCTCTAGCCAATGGGAGCCGAGGAGAGGCGCAGAGGAGGCGGGCCCCGCGACAGTCTGGCCGAGGCGCGAGGCCCTCCTCCCGCCTCTCCGCCTACTCCATCCTCCGCCGCCTCAGCTTCCCCAGCGAGCCCTGCGGCCGCCGCAGCTGCTCCCGCGGCGGAGCAGGAGCCGGATGGTCAGAGGAGCCCGGCAGCCTCAGCAGCCGCGGAGTCGCCTGGCCACCAGGTGGGGCGGGAACTGGGTGGAAGTCGAGGTTGGGGCTGGGGGCGGGAGCGGGCCCCGGGGCAGCAGCCTGGGGCCATGAAGCATTCGGGGTGCAGAGACAGGCGGGGCGGGGGGTTTCGTTTGGAGGGATTCGAGGCATTCGGAGGCTGCCTGGGGGTTGGGAAGCTGACTGGGCGGCGATCGCATCCTCGAGGCGGGAGGGGCATGGGCGGGAGGGGGCGCCGAGGGGTAAGGCTGGGGGCACGCCCCGTGGAGGGGCCGAGGAATGCGGGGGGCGCGGGGCCCCGAGGGGCGGGGCACAGAGGGGGGTGCAGGCTCGCGAGGGGGTGGGCACGGCCAACGGGGCACCAGAGGGGCTTGTGGGGTGACGAGGCAGACAATGAGGAGGTAGGTGGTGCTGGGTGGTTTTGGGGAGCTGGGCTGTGACAGATCAGAGCCGAGGATGGAGTGAGATCCGGAGGCAGAGCGGGCTTGGACCGAGCAGACGTTAGGGGAACCGTGAGCCCCAGCACCGCTTGGTCCTGTTCTGTGGGGGAAGCAGCACAGGCGTTTGGAAGGTCAGGTGTGGGCTTAGGCGCCGTCAGTGCTGGAGGGGGGACGGGAGTTCTTGCCCAGCAGAGTCCGCCGGCGACGTGTCCCTGTGTGTGTGACTGTAGTGACCATCTGATCTGTTTGGTCCGCAGACTGACTGGCACAGTGGAGAAACCACCTCGAAAACGGAAAAGCAGGTAAGGTAAACATGCCTTCCTGTTTTGTTTCGTGTTTCCACCTTTGCTTGACTGCACCTGTGCCGTACTGCATACTTCTCCACTGTCAGCAGGTGAAGTCTTTCATTTAGCTCTTTTCTTAATGAAGATGACTTGTCTGCAAGACTTTTTTTTGGGAGGGGGGGGGGAGATAATCTAAGATTATATGGGAAAGAGACATGGATAATTGAGAAATCCTGGTTTTTTACTTTAGCCATAATTGCAACTTTTCCACCAGCTGTTTAAAAGCAAATGTTTATTGCCAGATGCTATGTGCTTTGTATGTGTTATTTCCTAAAACCCTTGAAGCACCCCAAGGAAGTATGTACAGTCTTCACTGTTTTTGCAGAAGAGGGAACTGAGGAACAGAGAGGCCAAGTATTTACCCAAGATCACACATCTCCTAAGTGACAGAACCAGGATTTGAATCTAGGCAGCCTGACTCCAGAACTTATGCTCTTAACCGTTATGCTATCATCCCTCTAATAAATGTCATCTTGAAAATAGGCTTTCCTGTTACTTTTTCTCTTTTCATTGTACACAGAGCCTAAGAATACATAGTTGAGCCCTCGGAAAACCGAAAAAAGGGCTTGTGTAGTCTGCAAACAAGTGAGTTACCTACCCCTTGAGTGATGAAGAAGAGCATCTGTGCATTCCAGGAACATTTCTTAGTGCACGCAGAATGTCTGGTTCTATGGAGCAATTCTGTATAGTCCCTAGAACACTCCTTTTTCACACGTGTAGGCACTGGCCTAGAGAACGTATGCTGTAGTAGTGAGGATGTGGCCAGCAGGGCTGCTGCCATAGCTGATACTTGGTAAGTTACTGATGGCAGCACACAGACAACTTCAACTGTAGGCACATGTGAAGTGCGGATTGTGGACGTGCCAGCAGCCACGGCTCCTTTCTCGCTCCTTTGGGCCTATACTGTTCAGTAAGGTAGGCCTACATGGCCGTTGAGCATGTGCAGTGTGGCTGGCGTGACTCAGGAACTGAAATTTTAATACAGTTGATAATTAATTTAAATTTGACTCATTGGAAAATGTTTCAGTATGTTTGAAGTAACTTGGGTTTGTGAATTTACATCTCCATCTGTAAATTTTATGTGATTTAAATGTAGGTTAAATATTCCCAATGAAAACTTAATGTCCAAAATGAGGTGTGCTCTAAGTATAAAGTACATGCAGATTTCAGGTTAGTACAAAAAATGAATGTAGCCCTAGCCAGTTTTGCTCAGTGGATAGAGCGTCAGTCTGCAGACTGAAGGGTCCCAGGTTAGATTCCAGTCAAGGGCACAGACCTAGGTTGCAGGCTCCTCCCTGGCCGGGGCCCTGGTCAGGGCTTGTGCAGGAGGCAACCAATCGATGTGTCTCTATCACATCAATATTTCTGTCTTACCCTCTCTCTTCCACTCTCTCAAAAAATCAATGGAAAAATATCCTCGGATGAGGATTAAAAAGAAAAAGAATCTAAAATTTCTCATTCCTAATTTTTATATTGATTCCATGCTGAAATAATATTTTAGATATAGTGGATTAAATAAAAGTGTTACTAAATTTATTTTTTCTAAATGACTACTGGAAAATTAAAAATTACATATATGGCTTGTATTATATTTGTTTTCAACAGCCCTTGTTTAATTGTTATTACCCTACTGTCAGACCCTGGAGTAGCCTACGTTCCCTACCTCGAGTCTAATTTATTCTCCATACTGTACAAGTTGATCTTGTAATTCTCATGCTTAAGATTTGTCTGTTTTACATTGCTTACTGAAGATAATTCAGACCTGTAGCCTAATCATAAAAAAAGAGACTGCCTTGATTTCACTTATGCCTATCTTTCCAGCCACCGTTTATTATTTTTTATTTTTCAATATATTTTTTATTGATTTCAGAGAGGAAGGGAGAGGGATAGAGAGAAACATCAATGATGAGCGAGAATCATTGATCAGCTGCCTCTTGCATGCCCCCTACTGGAGATCTAGCCCGCAACCTGGGCATGTGCCCTTGACCAGAATCAAACTCGGGACCCTTCGGTTCGCAGGTCGACGCTCTATCCACTGAGCCAAACCAGGCCATGGAAAGCCTCAGTAACAGACTATTACTAGTGTCTAGTATTAAATGACAATTTTCTGGTGAACCTTTGATGATGAATTAATTGCTTAATGTAACTCTATGTTCTGTTTGCCATTCTGGAACTTATGTTCCCTCTTTGCTCTGCATTTTTTTTTTACACTTTTTCTTATTTTCTGTAATACTTCCTCCTTGTTTCTTGGCAAACTCCCTCCTTTAAGTCGTAGCTAGATGTCTCATCCTCCATGCAGACTTTCCCCACCCTCACCTTTTCCTTCCTTTGCTCTATCTTGTTGATCCCCTGATAGCCTTTACATACACTTAGATATAATCGTTAGGATTGAATTTGAATGCAAGTTGTGAAATCATATGCAAGTTAAACCTTTCTGAGCCCTTATCTGTATAATAGAAATAATAATAGTTCAAACACTTACAGAGTTGTAAAATGCTTAGTACAGTGCCTGGCATATAGAAAATACACAATAGCCAGGCCGGTGTGGCTCAGTAGTTGAGTGTTGACCCATGAACCAAGAGGTCACTGGTTTGATACCTCGTCAGGGCACATGCCGTGGTTGCAGGCTTGATCCCCAGTGTGGGGCATGCAGGAGGCAGCTGATCAATGATTCTCTCTCGTCATTAATGTATCTATCTCTTCCCTTCCTCTCTGAAATGAATAAAAATACATTGAAGAACAAAATAATTAATGATAGAGAAAGGATGTAATGACTGTAGCCAGAAATTTTTTACAGTTGTTACTATCAATTGCATGCTGTGGCCATAAAAATTCTCAATATCAAATGATACGAATTCCTGGTGAGCACTTCAAATGAATTAATTGCCAAATGTAGCCATAAGTATCTCTTTGAGTTGGTCTGTTGTGTAGAGTTGTTGATTATTAAAATATGTATCCTGTTACATTTTGGAAAACAATTGCCAAAAGTGTGATTTCTGTTTTTGAATGGTTGCTGTTAAGTCTTTCTTTTTGATAGATATAAGTTAGGGCTGAGTTATCTTTTGAGGACCTTCCTAGTACAGCACAAACTATAATACTGTTAAGGAAAACTAAAATAATTTGAGATAAGCAAGCATCTCGTATACCCGTTTCCCTCCAAGGACTTGCTATTGTGCTAGAACACTGCTGGGAAGTGGAGTTACAGACCCCCTCTTTCTCTGGGTCCCAAAGACTCCTCCTTCCCAGATAAATCACCCCATTTTTTCTGCCCTCAAAGGCACGGTCTTCCCATCCTTTCCTCAGCATAACCTCCTCGAGAAGTTAACATTTTCAGAAAACAAACACAAACCTCCCCCGAGGCAAGGGCTATCTTCTTGGGGATTTGGGAATACAGTGAGAATAAAACATCCATTGATATCTTAATTAATAGCTTATCCAGCTACTTTTTCCCCTCAGTAATTCTTTTAGTCCCTGTGGTGGTTTTAAAGATCTGTTTACAATTTTTTTTTTATTCTCCTTTCTTTAAAAGATGAAGCTTCATTCTCCTCCCCTTGAGTGTGGGCTGGACTTAGCGACTCACTTCTAGTGAACAGCATACAGCAGAAGTGAGGAGGTCTCACTTCCCAGATCTTTGCCTTCTGTCTTGGGTGTGCGCGTTCTCTCTCTCTCTCTCTCTCTCTCTCTCTCTCTGTCTCTCTCTCTCCCCCCCCCTGAATCGCTTGCCGGGGGGGCTGGAGGGGAGGAGGCTATAGCTGCCTTGGTGGGAGTCAGCCCTGGGGAGAGGGCAGCCAGTGGCCTTGTGAAGACACTCAGGACAGCCTGTGGGCAGGGCCACATGGCAGGGAAGTGAGGCCTGCCAGCAGCCACACGAGTGAGCTTGGAAGGGGATCCTACATTAATTCAACTTGGAGCTGACTACAGCCCTGGCCAAAGACTTGACTTATAATTCTGGCTTCACAAGGGCTGAGTAATATGAGCCTGTGATTTATTATTATTATTTTTTGAGAGTCTCCTTTCTTCTAGCACTGGCTCCATTATACCCAAAGGGCTTAATCTCTGGGTAAGCTTTTTCTCCTGGATAGGTGTCTCATGGTGTGTGTGTGTGTGTGTGCTGGGGAAACAGCTATCTTTGTATTAAAGGCATGGAAGGACAATTACTTTCAGGCAGTGACGTGTGCCTGTCCTAGTAACTAAATCTCGAACTATTTGCTCTTTATCTTCAGAGTCATTGCCTTCTCCCTGGTCTTTTGTCCCACAGGTAGAAGATAGTCCCCTGCTCATGTTCACTCTTATTAAGGAAAGAGCCAAAAGGTAGTTGCCTAGTGAGGAGTCTGTGCCTGTCACCAGGTTTTAAACTCCTTTCAACCCCTTCTTTGCTGTCTGGGAAGAATGGGCAAATCAGTCAACCAAGATGGTTAATTTTGTGTCAGCTTGACTGGGCCACAGGATGCTCAGGCATTTATTTGGTCAAACATTATTTTGCATGTGTCTGTGGGGGTGTTTTGGGTGAGATTAATATTTCAGCCAGTAGACGGAGGAAAGCAGATTGCCCTCCCCAGTGGGGGTGGGCCTCATCCCATCAGTTGAAGACCTGAAAAGAACAGAAAGACTAAGCCCCTCCTGCCTGACTGCTTGAGTTGGGGCATCCATCTTTAAAGCCTTTGGGTTTGAGCTGAAACTTGGCTCTTCTTGGGTCTCAAGCCCACCTGCTGTCAGACTGGAACTTACACCATGAGCCCTCCTGGTTTCCAGGCCACAGACTCGGGCTGAAACCCCACCATTGGCTCTGGTGGGTCTCTAGCTTATAGGTCTCGGCACTTCTCATTCTCCATCCTTGTGTAAGTCAATTCCTTATTTTGTGTACACACACACACACACACACCCTGTTGCTTGTTTCTCAGTTGAACCTGACTAATATATAACCTACTCTTTTTTATGGCCAGTCTTTCACCCCTGCCTTCCC